AGAACAAAACCATAACTTCTTGCGCAAAAAAAAAAAAGTACATAGAAATTGGTAGTAAATTTCACATGTAATTACAAAGAAATGGCAAGTAACTTGAATTTTGAAGTAGAAAAAGTGAAATAATATTTTCTTATAAAATTTACAACAATATTTTTTTACAGTGGACAGAATTAAAAAAAAATTCACCTTTAGTGAGCAAATATTATTTTTATAATGCTCATTTTGGAAATTGTATTGCCACAATTTTTTTATGCAATATTCCACATTTCATCTGAAAATATGCAGCTGGAAACCCAACTAGTGACCCGCAAATGCAAACATACTCACTAATCATTTATGGAAACATGTAAATATGACAAGCATGCCTACACTCATCTTTCCAAACACATGCATGAAACACAAACACTAATTTGCTTGCACATAAACATCAGGCTTTATGGGTTTTCTATATGAAGGACTGATCCATCACGCCAGTCCCAGAAGAGTTGTGAAATATGGCTAGCCTAGGGCAAGTTTGCTTTGCCTTTATACCAGGGAATGGAAGCGTAAGGTCAGACTGTACAAGTGCAAAGAAAAGGGCTAACATAACTGATGATTATCGCCTGTATGTGTGTGTGTGTGTGTGTGTGTGTGTGTGTGTGTGTGTGTGTGTGTGTGTGTGTGTGATAAATATAGCTCACCGAGGGCAAGTTTGCTTTGCCTTTATACCAGGGAATGGAAGCGTAAGGTCAGACTGTACAAGTGCAAAGAAAAGGGCTAACATAACTGATGATTATCGCCTGTATGTGTGTGTCAGAGAGCGTGTGTGTTAAATAAAAAGGATGTAAGGTTACTGGTCTGAATGAACTCTTTCTTTAAGAAGCAGTGTAAACTGGTCTGGTATCTACAGTGGAATGGCCTAAAGCGCTCCTACATCTATCAGGGTTAAAAGAGAGGAAAGACTGCACATTTATAGGCTCTTGAAAACATTAATGGTGTTACAGATTTATAGAACAAATTTTGTGGTCATTAGTAGCCATATGTCAAGCTCAGGCAAAACATAATCATTTCCTCCACACCACAGTTTGCTGCAAAAACAAATGCTTCAAACTCATTATCCATGAATTCTGAGAAGATGCACACCCAGCCACACACAGCCGCACAATATTTCTCTAATAAGCGTGCTGGCAAGCAGCAAACCAGATAGCTTACAGGCATGAGAGATTACATTAGCATGCTTTAATGCAATTTCAGGATCCTGCATTGTTTGGCCCTGTAAAGAAATCTATTGCTCTCACCAGAGACAACTAGAAGCTGAGAGGAAGGGTAGGATCAGGAATAGAGCACCGCGGAGGAGAGAAAAGAGGATGTGCCAGTTATTATAGAGGTTTATGTAGTGCTGGTGTACAGGGACAGCCATGCAAGTGGTGTGTTTGTCCTCTGATAAGGCCTGTGTTCCCGGAGCGCCTGGACTCCCAGGTCCAATATGATTTGGACAGACAGTGGATCAGAATGTCCAATTTCCTGCCACTGGAAGGCGGATATCACTGGATCTATGGCCCGGGCGTTTGGGCAGTCAGTCACCTTAATGGCTTAGTAGTCTGTGGAGACATGGAGGACGGACACCGCTGGACTGGATTATGACCAGTTTATTTGGACAGACAGTAAATATGTCTTTCTGTGCCCCATGCAAATTATTGCTTGTTGATTGATGTGTGCCTTTTTTTACAGTTCAGCAATAAGTGCTAATCTTATCAACAAAATCACTAACAGAAATAGTCGTTAACAAATGGTATTTTGATTTTGTTCAACAAACGAAGCTGAGGGAAAAAATCATGATGATAATTAAACGATTTAAATTTTAAAATACTGTTGATAAAAATATGGCTAAAAGAAAGTAACACTGCAATATACTGGGGATGAATTAAAATGTTTTTTGAAGAAAAAATCTGAAAGAAAATGATTGTTTGAAATTCTATCACAGTAAATGAGCTGAAGCAAACAGTAAATGAATACCAGTTATCTGAAGCACTTTGCTAGCAAGTCAATTAACTCACTCAAATGTATTGTATATGTGAGATTAATCAGATATATGCATAACATGACACAAATTCATGCACAAAATATCATACACTACTGTTCTAAAGTTTGGAGTCAGTATGTTTTTTAATGTTTTGAAAGAAGTCCCTCATGTTGACCAAAGCTGCATTTATTTGATCAAAAATACAGTAAAAATTGTAATTTTGTGAAATAATATTATTATTGTTAGCATTAATAGTTAACTATTTTATATTTAATATATTTTAAAATATTAATTTATTCCTGTGAATAATCAATGTTGAAAACAGCTGTTCTGCTTTATATCTTATAACTATGATACTTTTTTTCAGGATTTTTTGATGAATAGAAAGTTCAACATAACAGCATTTATTTGAAATAGAAATCGTTTGCACCATCATATGTCTTTACTGACATCATTTGTCTTTCACTTCTGATCAAAAATAAATAAATCTTACTGAGCCCAAACTTTTGAATGGTAGTGTAAATGCATAAATCAACTAGTCAAATTACATAAACCAGTCAAAATGTGACTACATTGTGATTACCCCCTTTCTGTAAAAATGCATTACAATTAATAATTGCAAATATTTCTAACATAAAATTTCTAACATATAACATTCCACTCTCTCTCACTTGTATCGCTCATGTGCCAATGTTTTCCCTTCTGGGTCTATAATACCTGGAGAAAGCCATTCATTAGCATTCCCACTCAGCAGTGGCTCGAATGGCACAAGACCTTCTGTATGCAATGCCATGACTCTGGAACGTATGACGACATAATTACATAATTACAGCACAGATTGGCTAATTAATATACATTATATATATATATATATATATACTGAACCATAATAAAATAATGCTTGCAAAGAAAAAAAGGAAATAAATTGTCAGAAACACAGCTAAATTTGAATGGTCTTGAATGGAGAACCTGAATTCAGATGTTGTAGTTATGGCATCTACCATCAAGGGATATTGACTATGCTAACCATCCAAACCTTGACTGCTATAACCTATGTGTGACATGGTTGCCCATTTCAACCACCAATCCTGTTTCCCCCCATCCTTGTCATTTCTGTCATTTCCTCACTTTCTTGATAAGTAAATCTTGCAAAAAGCCCTCAAAATTATTCATCAGCCCGTCAGTTGATGGTGGTTCATGTATATAATAAATACATAAAAATAAATACATATAAACTGAAATTAACTATTCAAATTACTAGCAAAACAAAATGAATATTATCATCTAAACCTAGCCAAATTAAGTCATAACTCAAATTCAGATGTTGCTAGAGGGAGGTTGGCAAACCCGTCAAATAACGAACTTCAAGCTATGCAGGACACGAGCAACATTAATTTACCATATTTAACATTTATGAAATGAATTACTCTACTCTGTCAAACCGGCACGCAGCAGTCATTAGAACGAGGCAATGCTAATAAGTCATTACTTGTTTGTTTATCGGTAACGCAGTGTTCAAAACACATTTTCCTCTTGCTTTCTGTACATGGCTGAACGGCGGGTAATTAAGGGCATATGTCACTGCACACAGCTAGATCTTATAGAGTCCAGTATTCACTGCCATGCCCTTACTGACCAATACATCCTGCCTAGCTGCCAATAGCAATGATGTCAGCAGCACTTTCCCAGTGCCGGCACAGTAGTAGATCCTCACGGTTACACAGACACTTTATCACAGTGACAGAACTCAAAGCTTTTTCTTTTGTGATCTGCAAAATGGCACAGACCGTTAGCTCTCGGTAAAAATAAACCTCTGCCCTCCTTACGTAATGCTGTACACGTACAACTGCACTGCAGTCAATAAACACTACGTAATATATTACAATAAAAGAGATTCGCTTGGTTTCTGAAAGGATTAGAAAAAAAAACCTAATCCAATTCAGGGACATTATATAACATTTTAGGGTACATTTCAAGTCTTGAAGTGATAAAAAAAAAAATCCTAAGGGCTGTAATAGTACAAAATTATTGATAATTGCTAATGTTACTGCATGAATGAATGCTCTTGGTTTTAAATAAACCTAATTTAATAAATAAAATTCGGACTTCACCCGCTGCTTAAAAGCAGTTAAGACTTTTGGTGAGTCACTGCATCACTCACCGCATGAGTGACTACTTGAATTAAAAATATCATGTTTTCTAGAACTTATCATGTTTTCTAGGGCTGAAACGATTCCTCGAATACCTCGAGTAACTCGAATACAAAAAAAATCATCGAGGCGAGGCTTCGTTTAGTCCATTTACTGTAACTACACACGGAACACCGTGTTTCCCCACGGACCATTATTACTGACGCACAACTCGATAAACGCTGGACCATAGACTGTAAAAAAAGCGCTGGACATATTTAAGATCGTAAATCAATATGGTGGCTAGTTATGATGTCCCTACGTTAGCTATGTTTTGTGAAAGACTAAACGCCATTGTGCATAAAAATACCACAGAAAGAACGTTACTCTTAAAAGAAATGGTTCTATCACCCGCTTCATATATGGAACCCCACAATGGTTCTATGTAGAACCATTTTAATGGGTTAATTAAAAAGAACCCCAAGTGGTTCTTTGAATCCAAGTTAGATGGTTCTTTTTAGAACCATTTAAGGGTTCTTTATTATTAAAAGTTCTTTATTATTTAATAAGAAAATATAACCAATCCAGAAAATTCAAAAAGTTTACATTTATTCAATTTATTATACATTTATTCAATTTATTATACAAAAATAGTGTCATATTTAAAATTGCACCTCTGTATATTCTGTATTAGACTGCAAAACTTTAAATTATTTTACATTTAAAATGTTTAATTACATTCAACCATTTAGTTTTAATTATTTCACGTCAGCATTTTCACTTTTTAATAAACATACATAAGCTTGTTTAAGTAGTGTATGTACATATACAGTACTTAACTTATACACGTATCTCTGACATGAGGAAAAACAAATCAATGCAGATAAAAACAATACATGAACAATTAAAACATCTACTAAATGGCACTACAATTTACACAAGTTGACTACATTTTTAGTACAGGTATTGGTGTTCTTGTGTCATGGCAACATCTAAGTTTAAGCATATATTTTTTAATGAAAATCATTGTGTGCTTAATGGCAACTGGGTATTGCACATTGAAAAGAAAATAGACTGCAAACAGGCATTCCACAGCCTGTGTCATGTCAATGTCTGCCTCTCTTATAATGTTCTCATTGTCCATTATAATGCTGACACTTTCAGCCTTGAGGGGATCAGGAGAGCCATGAACATGGTGGTTGGTGTAGGACCTTTGGGTTCCTGGAAAACAAACATTTACCTTTTGAGTGCTTTTCACCAATTAACAGAAGTCATGAAATAGGCTTAAAATTACCCCATAATTTACTCAACAACAAGCCATCCTAGATGTGCATGACTTTACACTGGGCATGGAACAGATAGGTTTGATGGGGGAAAATATATGGTGTAGTTACCTTCTGTGGTTTCCTCTGCTGGTCCAATGAGATTGCCGTAGAGTTTTTTGACTTCCTTCTTTAGCACTCCTGATGATGTTTGGGGCCATTTCATTTAGAGATGTTTCCATGTTCTTCGCCAAGTCTGGTCCAAACCTCATTGTCATTTCATGCAGCATCTTAAATGCAAAACATTTGTTTACTTCAGGTGCATATATCTGCATTGTTAACGCATTGCTCTTCCAAATTAGCTATAGGAATTCACAGAAATACTATATACATGGATTTTTCTGATCTTGCCTTATCTTTTCTTGCCTGGCACAAAATGTAACAGTGTTTACTCACAAGCTGTGGCACTCCAAGAAAAGGAAACTGCTCCATTACTTCAGCTGCAGGCCTCTCCATAATCTGTACTCTTTGGAAAAGAGTGTGCTTCAACTGGTTCTTGAGCTCAGAGTACCTGGGGTTGCTTTTACGCAACTCCAGGGTGATGGCATTAATGTGTTCCCGGAAACATGTCTCATCCTCACCCGTTACTTCCAGGTCCAACACAATCTGAGGTAGGAAGACAGCATTATGCAGTACGTAAATATGAATCAGTCACAGAATATTTAAGTTTGAAACATCAATCTTAAAAACTGAAGGAAAAGTTACGGAAAACTAAACCAAATACCTCCTGTGAACAAGCAGAATCATTATGACATTATATCCAATGATTCTCATTCTACATTTTGCACTCTGAAATAATAAAGTCAACATGTGTTTCATGTTAAGACAAATTTAATCTGCCTTCGACATAAAATGTATTGAACTGAACTTGCCTTTTGAACTTGTCTCATCCTCACCTGTTACTTCCAGGTCCAACACAGTCTGAGGTAGGAAGACAGCATTGTGAGTACGTAAATATGAATCAGTCACAGAATACTTACGTTTGAAACATCAATCTTAAAAACTGAAGGAAAACTTAAGGAAAACTAAACCAAATACCTCCAGTGAACAAACAGAATCATTATATGACATTATATCCAATGATTCTCATTCTACATTTTGCGTTTCATGTTAAGACAAATTTAATCTGCCTTCGACATACAATTTATTGAACTGAACTTGCCTTTTGTTGTTGACTAAGTCCCTCAGAGTCTGTTTGTCCAGCACTTTCCTTTGATCCCATTCTTCTTTATTTGCAGGACGATTGATGAGCTAACCAAGGGAATCCTTTCTTTTTAAAATTTGTTTCTAAGGCATTCCAACAAGGTATCCTGTAGATACATTTATACTTTCTTTCAAAATAGATTTTTTAATGAGCAATTACCTCAATATTTTCACAGTATTAAAAGAGCAGCAATATACAGTATGCATACATAACCAGAGGAGCTGTCATCCTTCAAAAATGGAAAGCGCGTGATCAAACAACCCAGAACATCTTCATACATTTTATGATTTGGGTACCTAAAAAATATAAAATATAATTATTTCAGTACCCAACAACCAACACGTTTGACATTTAACTATTATAAAATACAATGAAATACAATACTGTACCAGGTGTGCTTGGTGATGCTGTCAAACAACAATTTTGCAATTCAGGGGGAAAGACAGGCAGGTTGTATACTGCTGGCCAAGGATGGGCAACAAATGAGTCACAGGGTTCTTGTCTGTAAACATGAATACAATGTTGAAGTCTTTTATACAGGATATTCATTTTACTTGCCACAATACAGTCAGTTTGGACTTCAAAACAATGATACATACTGAGTACAAGATATCTGAGGCTCGTCAGTTTCCAGGCTGTTTGAAGAAAAATAAAATATAAATTAAGATAAGGATTTTAAGCTTAGTTGGCATAAATTTGTTTTATATTTAACAACAATGTTCAATATTTAACAACACTTTTTGAACTCATTAAGATCCTTTATAAATGTCACCTGATGTTTCATTACAGGAAAAGTCTTTCCACCATCCTTTCTGAGACCCAGCAGAGTCTCCCCATCAGTATGCTGCTCTGTAAGAAATAATAATAATAAAAAAAGTTCATATTCCAAAGAAGAAATAATTGATAAATAAGAGAGAGACATACCACAGAAGTACAATATATTTACCTAGAATAATACATTCTGTGATATAAAATATCTCTCAATGTTACAGGTAACACTTAAATCTGCTTGGTGTTAATGTTAATGTTGCACTTGCAGGTGAGATGAGATACTTCGTGAGTTGAAACTTCACAACATCACAAAATGAACATTTATACATTTTCATGTGTACCTCTGAAACTTTATTTTGCATCAATGAGGTTTATATTTTGAAGCCAGTGGCAAAAGTAACAGTTTGATCAGGGTTGGAGCTAAAAACTGCACGAAAGTGGACCTAGCGGGGCAAAGTTAAGAACTTCTACACCTGTTAACTGGGGAAAATACTCACCGCAAACTGAATGTGTGAGAAACTGCGACAAACATTCACATTATCATACCCTTCCGCCTTCCACCAGGTTCGCTATCGTTAAAATGACCGTTAACAAACAGCGAGCGCGCGCTTACTTGAAATTAAAATTCAAAGCTCGCGAAGCTCGTCTTCTTATAACACAGCTGTCTTATTGTTATTGACAATTGTATTAACACTGACAAGAAAAATAAAGGGAGACTGTAACTTAATTAATTTAAAAACCGGAGCAAAATCAATTTAACAGGGCTTTCTGAACTGACGGCTGACGAAGCCCTTCAGTGCTAATTTTAACTAGTTTGCTTCTAGTATCACTATTTAGCACAAGGGCTACTCTAGCAAATAGAAATATTAACTGATTATACTAAATATTTCAGAAATATGATTTCAAAAATGTAAAAACTTACCTGAGGGTATGAACGGGCAGAGATGGTAGACTCCTCAGTTTGAAAAATTAACTGTCACTGTCGCGAGGTTCATCTTCGCCAATACACCAATAGGAATTCAAGGATGATGCAACACATATACGCCACCAGAGGGCATTTTTACGATTATTTGTTTTTAATACACCCTTGGGGTTAGATTCATTAAACCATCACAATAATGGTATGGTACAAAATAAAGAAAACACCTGGTTAGTTTATTTATTTCACAAAATGATTCGTCAAAAAGGCAAACTATAATGTATTAGGAAATATAAGTTTCATGCTAATGTACAAACTTGCATTAAAAAAATATCAAATCAAGATATTAATATTTGTTGACTCTCTTGTTTTAGACTACAGCAGTCATTCTCCTGTATCTTGACTCAAAAAGCGTTGTGAATGTGTTGTATAGGCTTATAATTAGTGTGTAATCTTTAGTTTACACTTCAGTCATAAAACATGAATTATAGAACCATTTTAATAAAAAAGTTTCTTTGCTCTCCAAGGGTTCTACATAGAACCATTTTTTTTTTTTGGTAAAAGGTTCTATTGGCCAAGTACAGAACCCCAGGGTTCTATATAGAACCTCAAGGAACCCTTTTTTTTAGTCAATATCACACAAAGTGTGTCAGTTTTCACCTCTAAAATCAGCAAGATTACAAATGTGATTTTATTCAACAGTTCAATAAACAAGAAGGTAATATTAAGAGACTTACGTTTTAGACACTATATTGCCTGTTTTTGCTTTATTTTGCCAAGAAAAAAAAAAAAAATCCAAACACAGTCACAGTGCTGTTTTGCGTCTCTGAGCAACATGACGGTGTTTCGTTCCTGAACGAATCACCCGTTTAAATGATTCGGTTCAATCGCTTGAATGAATCACTTCAGAACAGTGACTTGCTGCCACCTACTGGTGGTTTTTAATTTGACATTTAAAGTATCTTTTCGTTTTTAAAATAATTTTAAATATCAGTATTCAATGTTTCATGTTTAAAATAACAAAATATTATTTATGCATTTGTAACTGCAGGTTAAATGCATTCATGTCCCTCTGTGTGGGAAATTCATCCCATGCAGCTTCTGTGTTTCCTCTGCATTGCAAAGATGAATTTTGAGAATGACATAATTTGTTTGGTAACGGCCCAAATGTCTTTTATTCTAATTGACTGATTAAATGTAAGAATTTGACTCAAAATATGATGCACAATTTTAGAAAAAAAAAAAGGCTTTATAAAGGTAAAAATGCCCATAAACTGTAAAAATCTATTTAAACTTATTGGAACGGATTCATTTCTATCACTGCTGTGAACTGACCCGCACACAGAATATGAAGGATTTCAAAAACAAGTTTCACACACACACACACACACCAAACACACACACCAGTACGTAAAGAGACATTTAAGAGGGTTTATTCTCCAAATAACTCATATTGAAATAAATTGTGTATAGACTCTTGTTCTTGTTCCATGTTACCTTCCTGTCCACTGAGTTTTGCCTCTCACAAAAGCCACAAAGCCTTCGAAGAAGACAGTAAAGGTTTATGTCATGCTTGAGCTTTAGTTAGGCTGAAACTTGAAAGCTAAGTTGCAAGACATAAATGCAATGTTTAGGTTTTATTATTGTTTTTATTACTATTATTTTGATTTATGCCTTAGTTTTAGTTTGTACTGTTTACCTTTTTTAAAGTAATGTGAAATTGATTTTTATTTATATTTTTATTTGATTGATATATTTGTATTAGCATTTTGAATGTAATTTGGCATTTAAATGGGTTTAGTTTTCATGGTTATTAATGTATGCAATTTCAGCAATAAAAATTTACATTTTTCTAAAAAGAAATCAAATTAGTTGTTTATTTTAAGAGATCTATCTTATCTCTTGTATATTTAGTATTGCTCTTTAATAAAGAATAATTACTTATCCGATTACTCGATTAATCGATGGAATAATCTGTAGAATACTCGATTACTAAAATAATCGATAGCTACAGCCCTAATGTTTTCCATACAAATTTTAAGCAGCACAACAGTTTTCAACATTGATAGTAATAAGAAATGTTTTCTTAAGCACCAAATCAGCATATTAGAATGATTTCTCAAGGATCATGTGACGCTGAAGACTGGAGTAATGATGCTGAAAATTCATCTTAGCCATCACTGGAATAAATTACATTTTAAAATAATTAAAATGTAAAATAGTTATTTTAAATTGCAATATTAGTTCACAGTAATACAGTTTCACCAAATAAATGCAGCCTTGATGAGCATAAGACTTATTTCAAAAAAATTACATCTTACTGAACCCAAACCTTTGAACAGTAGTGCACATAGTATGGAAGTAGTATTCACCTGAAAAATTCAAGTTTATATGTATCCATTTAATGCAATAAGCTCTTCTGATAAAGCACTACTCACTGGATTGGCAAAACAAGACACTCAAAGTTTAGTTTGAGGCCTTTTGTAGTATGTAAATATATGCAAGATACGCATAGTGTTGCATGTTGTTTTTGCTTTTTCCACAATGACTAACTACTAAGGTCTCAAATATTTCAGATATATCCTCTAAACTGCATATAAAAACAAAACAAACCATGGTGGGTCTCATTAACATGTCAGTCAAAAAAAGGCTAGAACAAAAAGTGCCAAGTGGACTGGACCAAAATTAACAGTCAAAAGTATGTTTGCACAAGACTGATCAAGAAGTAATGCCACCTTGTGTGTTGACTACATAAAAATACCATATATCAAATGAGTTTAAACACCACACATCCATTAACCACATTGCAATAGTAGACATTTTTTCTCACTTTGTATAGATATTATCTCATCGTCCATATTTGAGTGTCTCTCGCCATCTGAGAGACCTAATTGGCTATTTTTCAGCAATTCAAAAAGTAATGTCATGTTTGGACAGAGCAACACACAAAGGGACATCTGTAACCTCTTTGGGCTTTGTGTTTTCACAAATAAATTTAAAAATGGCACAGCGATAGCAGCTGAAGCATCAGCAAGCAATTTATGAAAATTCCCTCAGATCACTTCTAGAAGAAAGAATTTATGCATACAAAATAAGACAGGAAAAATGGCAGGAGATAAGCAAGTAAAGAGAGGCAAAGATGTGGTGACGGAGGTATCTGGGTGTATATTTTTAGAGTCTAAGTACATGATGAGACCTGAAGCTTGCTGATCAGCAGGAGAGCTTCTGCTTTTGAGACGTGCTGCTCTATTCATCTTCTCTGCCAGGAAGACATTCTCCCAGACATGAAAGCTTCACTGCGATCTTACTGTTTCCCTCTTTTCCTTCTCTCCATTTCCATTCTCTCTCTCAGTCTTCTTTTCGCTCTCATATATACACAAAAAGAGCATACCGCACATTAAATTTACAGTTCTTTCTCCATCCTAATCTGCCTCCCATCGCAATTCCATCTTTACACATCCCACCTGATCCACAAGCGTAATGAGAAAGATATGAGTGCACTTCCCCCTAACTTCCGAACTGTAATCCACACACTTCCAAAATGTCATCAGGCACAATCTACTGTGTTCCAAGAAAGAAAATATTTCAACCATACTGTGGGGTTCAAATGCAAATGCAAATGCTGCAATGCACCAATACAGTGGCTCTCAATTTATTTCTTTATTTTTTGAGTGTTACAAAAAAACTTTTTCGAAAACAACAAAATAACTTTGTTTAAAAATACCAAAAAGAACATTAGCACAAAAAAATAATGAATAAACTGGTAAACTCAAATAAATAAATAAATAAATTAGTGCTGTCAAACGATTAATCACGATTAATCGCATCCAAAATAAAAGTGTTTGTTTACATAATATATGTGTGTACTGTGTATAATTATTATGTATATATAAATACACAAACATACACATATATATTTTTTAAATATTTACATGTATATACAGTATATATATATATATATATATTCATATATAATTTATATTTTATATATCAACAAAACATATTTTTCTTAAAAATATGCATGCATGTGTGTGTGTGTATTTATATATACATAATAAATATACACAGTACACACACATATATTATGTAAACAAAAACCTTTATTTTGGATGTGATTACTCACAATGAATCGTTTGACAGCACTAAAATAAATTAATTAATTAATTAATTTAGCATTTAAGGTTTAAAAAAAAAGTTTTTTTTATTTTTTTTTTAAGTTAAGGTTAGGAGCCACAGGTTGAAATCCAATGCACCAAATACAGAAACATAAATCTACAATATAAAACTCACAAGCAGCTCAGTCTGACATTATAGCATGTTGTCAGGCTAATACTGAGAATATATCTTTTATATGCACACACACATATGCGAGACACACACTTTAAAGATAATAAATTATGTAGATAACCTAGTCAACCTTAGTTAAATTGACTCCACTGTATTGCATAGATAGGGTTGGTCCAAAGAAACTCAAAACCATAGATAACACTGAAAATTAAAGCTGTTTGCAGAACATATTTGTTAAATTCACTGCTAAACTGAAACATAAATTGTTTCTTTATTTTGTTAGTGTGGCTGAAACAAAATCTCAGACATCCTTACACCAGGAATCTCTCACTGCAGGAGAGCTAAATGAATTTCCCC